GGGGGGGCGAGAGGAGGAAGGGGAAGGGTATATACTACACATGAAGCAGGGAAAACCCCGAAAAACCAACAACTTTGAAAAAATTTTCCCAACTCCAAATTCCTCTCAAAGCCACATACGATTCCCCCTCTCCCAACAACGACCAAATACGACCCCCCTCCCCAGCGGAAAGTACGACCCCCCTATGTGTTTCACACAGCGATGCTGTACCCTGTCTGAGGTTCTGCATTGCATGCGAATGTGATGTTCATCCAGCGTAGCGCGTAGTTTGTTTTTCCTCTTACTTCATCGAAGAATTTGAAAAATTCTCTTTAGATTGGCCTGAACCCTTCTTAATTTTCCCAAGAAGCCCGTCGATGAGCAATCGCGATACGCTTGTTCGATAAACACTGAGCTATGGGCAAGGAACATCATCAGTTGGGGTTTTGGTCGAGTCCGTGCGACCCCCCGCCCCGGTGGCTCGAAACGATCCCCCCTTCTCCATCATACCCACCACTTTCTTAGATTTTCCCAACTTCCTACCATTTTTCCCCAGTTTTTTCTGGAAGTTCCTGAGAACTTTCCTACTTTTCCCTAAATTCTGATGTCGAGGGGGGAGTGAGGGGCCCATGAGTGGCCCAACAACGAGCAACTACGACCCCACCTTCTAGCGTCCCTGTTACAAGAAAAAAACAACTAACAAAAAAATTTCTCAGACCAAATACGACCTCCCTGTTATGGAATCCTCAACGATATGTGCCCTTACTATGGGCCTTTGTAACGAACCGCGAGCTGTGGCACACCAAAGGTATTACGTGAGTCTCCCACATATCGCTGATACCAGGAGACAGTACAGTATGCATTACTTGGCATTTGATAACGCTCTAGTGCGGTAGCAGGTTTTTTCGCCAGAAGGTACAATCAGGTGAGTATGTCTTCTAGACTGATTGGATTTTTCTAAGAGTTTCCCGACAGAGCGTCGAAACCATCAAAGAGGATGAGACGCTTGGTGGATATCAGCATAAAAGTGCACCACTTTAGGGCATCCAGGGCATATCAATGGTTGGGGATTTTGGCCGAGCCCATACAACCCTCTCCCCCCCCCCCGCCCACAGTTCCTTCCTCGGGTACAGTCGAGCTGTCGGGCGAAGGGAGCAGGGAAAAGCGTTACGTAATACGTGGAACAGAAAAAACCGCGAAAAGTCAACAAGTGGGATAAATTCTTTCCAAAGCCGCAAATTTCTTTCAGAAAGCAGGTTCGACCCTCCCCTCCCCTTCCCAACAACGAGCAAATACGACCCCATCCTCATAGCGTCCCTGGAACAAGAAAAATCAACTATCAAAAAATTTTCTTAGGTCAGATACGATCCCCCCCCGCGACCAAATATGACCCTCCTGCTGGGAAATCCCCAACATGTGTGCCCTGGTTCCTCTGCAAGCCTCGTGAGGTACATCAAACTAAAGCCACTATGCTAAGCTGTAGTTTCCTCACTGGTGCGCCCTCCCCGTTCGCAGCTTAGAAGCTACGGGATTACCCGAGAAGGGGGCAGGCGTCTCCGTCTATCCGATAACCGTACAGTGTGGCCCATGGGGGCCAAGGGCTTACAGGAGTGCAAATATAACTGCATCATATTAATAAGTCGACACCGATGTAAGACCCTCATGTAAATAGATGGTCAAAATAGAAGAATCTAATGAAGAGTGAGAAGAGTACACGTTGAATTCCAGTGATGTGAAAAATAAAAAAGTATTCTCTTCCAGGTTTTGAATTATCGACGATGTACGGTATACGAGATAATCCCATGATCTACTAAAGGATAATTATGGAAGGAAAGCATTAAGCCTGCTCTTTGTGAGTTCATAGCAATTCTAATAAATCCAAGCGAATTATAGTCCTAATAGCTATAAATGGATTTATGTGAGGCAACAATCCGTGAAATAGAGATTTGTGCCGGAAAAAACCATCAGTGATGGATGGCTAGCTAGTAGGTAAGCAAGCATTAATTACTGTTTTCGTGTGATGTACAATCAGTTTGTCTGTGGACTATTCTCATTAGGTTGATCGAATAGTCCTGAGCAGACGCTGAAGAGAATTTCAAACTGCAGGGAAGATCTCAGGTCGGAGTGGCCATTTGTTACAGTACCTACTGTAGCGATAGGAATCAATTGAAGACGCGCTCTTTTTGACAGTTTCGTGAGTATTTTTGAAACTGCATGTAGAAATTTGTTCTCTCAGATCAATTACGCCTTGAAAAGCTATTTCAAAAAATAAGATTTGGCTGATTGAAAAAGTTCTCGAGAGGATTGAAGTAAGTGTATCGCAATACCGCACGCCGCTACCTGTGACTCATATCTGCGTTCAAAAACTACCCTGAACTCTTGGAGTTTTTCTGGTTTTTTTTAACCAACGCGCACTCGAAGGCTGTTTCTGTCACGAATTCCTTTTCTGCAACGTGTTTTTCTTTTTTGTGTCACGAGGTGTTTAGCATT